CTGCTCTGAAAGACTGTGATTTTGCCCCAGTCGCTCTAAGTTTTAGACCTTACACATCAAAATCCCGTCTCTAGCTTTTCACTTTGTATGAGCTTCTGCACTGAGTTTTCTCCATGATGGTCTGTGATATGGAAGTGTAAGTAAAATAAACCATTTCCTCATTAAATTATGTCTGGTCCATGTATTTTTCAAAGCAATAGAAACTGCAACAAAAACACTAACAATTAATAGTTTTCTGCTTGTTATATAAATATAGTTAAGTTTAGAACAAATAACAGGTTATAATTTCAGAGACTGTTTATTGACAACATTGAAGGTATTAACAATTTTTTTAACTTTTATTAATTACACTTTATTCACTTTGTACCTCCCCTAAACCCCTCCCTCCTCCCCTCCTAACAGACTAGGATCAGAAGGAAGAAAAAGAAACCCTCCCCTACCAGTGGACTTGGGGAAGGGCCTGCGTGGAGAAGGGGGAGGAAGGTAGGGATTGGGAGGGAAGGAGGGAGGGAAGGGAGATACAAAGTAAAAAAAAAAAAAAAAAAAAAAAAAAAAAAAAAAAAAAAAAAAAAAAATAAAAAAAAAAAAAAAAAAAAAAAAAAAAAAAAAAAAAAAAAAAAAAAAAGGTGTAATTAAAAATAAAATTAAATTAAAATTAAAAAATAATCCAGGCTTACTCTAGAAAGCAGAACAAAAGACAGTTATCCTATGTGGTCATATTGGAATGAGGGATTAAAGAGACACTTCTTTCGTCTGAGGTATCTGATGTATATCTTCAAGTCTTGAAGTGAGATTAAAATTTAAATTGAGGGCCAGGAATGTTCATATACAGCAGTAGTGATCAACATACAGGTTGTATCCACCATCAACTGACCCACTATTGCCTGAACTTTAGTCATATCTGGTAAGGTGGTTTGATGATTGTAAAAGTTCTCCCTTTGACTGGAGGATTTTTCTTCACTCAGCATGAGACTTCTGTGGAGAGTCCCATTTCTTTGAGGTCTGTTATTTCACTAGTCTGATAGATTGAGAGACACAAGTGTCTCTTTAGTAAACCCTCATTTTCACTGGGCCTGTTATAGAAGCAACACACTGTGAAGTTCCTGCTCAACCAAATTTCTTATGAAGGATATTCAAGGTTATTCTTATCACTTCCACTACTTTCTCTGAGATGTGACAAGTGTATTCTATATGCTGATGTCTTTGGTGGGCCTGAAGGACTTTCCTTACTTATGGTGTGGGATATAAAAACACAACTAGGAGACACATGTCTAACTGGAAATGTTTCCTCTTTTTGTGGCATAGTGCTGTCACCGACAATATTGCATGTTTTATAGGTTGTGGCAATACACACACTTAATATTTTGCCTTTCTCTTGCAAAATACAAGGAACAGGTACCCATTCTTCTTCATTCTTATCTATGAGATAAGTGAAAAAGAGGAATTTTTTCTTCTCCCCTCCTCCTTTCCTCCCTCTCCTCCTCCCATCCTCCTCCCCCTCCTTCTCCTCCTCGTCCTTCTCCTTTTCCTTCTTCTTTAGTTTTATTTTTTAATTTTTATCTTTTACAATTTATTTTGTATACCAAGTATAGGCCTCTCTCTCATCTCTTCCAAATCCTATCCTGCCTCCTTCCACCATCCCTTTCCCCTAGACCACTGAGAGGGGCAGTCCTCCTGCCCTGCCATCTGACCCTAACCTAACTAGTGTCATCAGTATGGACTAGATCCTTTAATTTTGTTGGAAAGGCCATGTCGCTCTCTTCATACCATCCATGTGTGTAACAGAGAGTGCTTACAGTCTGGTCCTCAAAGATGTGAGATCCAAAGTCACTTCTTTGTCATATGTATACCCACGTTCCCTTCTTTGTAATATGTCTGACCAAATTCCACGTGGGGCCTCCATCAGAAAAGCACCTTAAATGTCTACCTTGCCATATCCCCACCTAAAGTCCCTATTGTATCATATACCCACCTAAGTCTTTTCTCTGGCACCCAACCATTTGTGACCAAATTATGTCTCTTCTCATATACCCATCCAAATTCTCTCCTTGTTCATGTACACACCCAAGTTGCTTGTCTGGCCCCAAACTTGGTGATACCTAAATCCCTCCCTTGTCATAATACCCCCCCACATACTTCCTCTTTTGCTCTATACCTGCCATTCCTCCTTGCCATTTCCATTTCTACCACGAGTGACTCACAGGACACAAACCATTTCAATTAAAAATTAATTTATATTTAACAATAACAATGTGATTTAAATTTTATAGTTTGTGGAGAGAGAATTTCTCCACATAGTGATAAGCATTTATGCGTTATCTTCCTCAACTCCTCTGGTTGCCTCAAACCTGGTAGCCTGAACTGTGGTGACACTTGCAGTTGAGGTAGTTGTGGTGATGGTTGTACTTGTGCTTGCCAGGTTTGAGGTTTCACTTAAGATGACTGAATGTTCATCTTTGACAGCTGAAATTTGGAGTACTATGGATGAAATTTTGCATGCAATGGTTGAATTTTGGCTTGCAATGGTTAAAATTTTGCCTGCCATGGTTGAAATCTCACGAGTGATCATGGAAGTTTCACCTACAATGGTTAAAGTGTCACTTGTGATGGCTGACATGTCGCCAGTGAAGATTGCAGTTTCTCCCGAGAAGGCTGCATTTTGGGCAGCGAAGGTTGAAGTTGCGCCCGAGAATGTTGCATTTTGGGCAGCGAAGGTTGAAGTTGCGCCCGAGAATGTTGCATTTTGGGCAGCGAAGGTTGAAGTTTTGCCCGAGAAGGTTGAATTTTGAGCAGCGAAGGTTGAAGTTTCGCCCGAGAAGGTTAAACTTTGGGCAGCGAAGGTTGAAGTTTCACCCACAAAGGTTGCAGTTTTGGCCGCGAAGGTTGAAGTTTCGCCTGCAACAGTGCTTGTGTTTGGTTCTCTGGCATGTTGATCACTGAAAATATTTTCAGGCTGTTCTTCGTGCCTCAAAGGTTCATCATTCAGCTTTGTCTCTTTGACCTTCTTCAGTACAGGCTGTTGAACATCATCTTTTTTTGAAGTCTTCTGTTGGGAGCGTCTGCCACGCTTGTTGGCTTTAGTAGCCTGTAGTGATAAGAGGGAAGACACAAAAGAGTTAGTTAATTTAGAAAGAAGTGGGGATAAAAAGTGAAGGAGACATTGTCAGGAAGAGTGAGGGTACATAAGGTGATTTAGGCCAGGCTAGAGAAAGAAAGTCACTTTAAGCAAGAGTATATCAATGGAGGGAGCTGTGGTAGGATAGGTCATCTTACCGTTTTGGCAAGTATGCTTGGCGGGTAAAACTTGTAGGCTGCCTTTGTCTTTATTGGCATAACTGGCTTAGATATGGCTTCCCCATCGTGGATAGAAGATGTAGGGCAGTCCATTTTGGACAGTTCTTCCTTTGGGTTATTGGTCTTCTTTGCCATGTTCAATTTTAGGTTGTCTTGCTTCAAGAGGTCTGGGCAACTGACCAACAGTGAAGTCCACACCCCTCAGGCCTGATTGCTCACAAAGACTTCAGCCAATAGGAGGCCAGCACATGCTCAGACATCACAAAACATGGCTCTGACCCACCGGGATGCCTGGTGAAGCAACAAACAGCAGAATGTACCACTCTGGCCACTTATTGTGAGGGAGAAACAAATAATGAGGAAGCAAAGAGAGTCCAGTTTTATAAGGAAGCTTCCCTTCAACAACCCCAAGGCAACTTTTGCACACCTTTCTTCTGCATCTATTCCCTTTAGCTATTGCAGAACACACAACAAGGCATTTGCTTCTCAAGACACCTCCCCAAGTCTCCCATTGCTCAAGGATTCATTCCACTATGTCTTCCTTAATCTTTGCCTAGTATCTTGAATGTCTTCCCTAAAATCATTCCTAAGTGCATTGCTGTATTTGGATATCAGTAGATATGTCAATCATGATCCCTAACTGTTGTAACAAACATCTAGGCTCCCAGCAGGAACCAGCCTCTTAACTCACATCTATACACAGAACTCTTTGCTCTGTATATCTGACCATACTTTATACAGAGACTTCCCATGTCCTCCTCCATGGTCAAGCCTGGTGATTTTACCTCAGCAAATTATACTTGTTTTTTCTACATCTTATAATATGTATCCTGGGTCCCAAAGACATATAGTAACTACCTATTAGGCTTCCTTCAGTCTACCTATATCACCCAAGCTTGTCATACCATTAAGTCCTACTGCCAATGTCTAGGAACTCAACCTAGTACCATCCTAAATATAGGTAATATCTAGGATCTCTCCATGACTGGCAGTATTCACATCTACTCACAGGACAGTTTGCAACATATACACCACACTCCATACACAGATTTCCAAGGACCTCCTCTCCTTCTCTAGACAGGGTGCAGAAACACACACACACACAGACAGAGAGAGAGAGAGAGAGAGAGAGCCCTAAGTATTTGTACTTCTGCATTCCTATGGAACTACTGAATCTACCTAACCTAGCTGTGTAGTCTTGTGATAGTAAAACTACAGGTTTTCACTGGGTCCCAAGTCATAAACCCTAGCTTAGTCTCAACCTTTTCCTTTGCTTTGGGAAGAATATAGGTGCCTGTGAGGCCTTCATTCACCCACAAGGCAATTTGCACAACATACACCAGTGAAGTCCAAACACAATAACTGCACTTCTTCTTCCAGTTTTTTAACATGTTGAATACACTACCAGACACTTGATGTCCAAAACTTGCCAAATCTAAAGTGTGTACCACAAAGAATGACCAGTTCTAACCTGGTCTTATTGCATTGCAGTACTGACACCTAGGCTTTAACAAAATCCCCAGTACTGTACCAGCCTAGTCTGAAAACCACATCCAGTGCTATAACGAACATCTAGGCTCTCAAGGGGAGAACCTTGTATACATTTACGAACAGGATAATTTGAGTTGCTCTCACCTCTCTACTCAATTTTTCAATTTTCCTCCCTTGTCATTTTCTAGGGTCTAGCCAGGAAAAACACCTGTTTTTTTCTATATTCAGTGGGATCTACTCTGGAGAATATAACCCCTGATCCATCATAGAATGGCGGCTTTTACCTTACAATAGTGACTTCTGACCTTCTTCAGGACCCCTAGTCTCAAACTCCAGCATCATCTCTCCACACCTTTCTGTCAAGGAGCCAATAGCATGGATCCTTCAGAATCTACAGTAGCTGCACCTACTCATGAAAAATTTGCTGTGCATGTACGACCCCACTGTTTATCCAGACTTCCCATGTCCTCCCGCAATGTCAAATCAGATAACTATTTGCCCCACTATATTCTTGCTTTTCCACATCCCACATTATATTATATATCTTAATTTATCACTGCCAATGTCCCAGCCTAGTTTTGCACTTACATTCTTGCGTGTTATTAGTGACCATAAGCTTCAACAGCGTTTCAAATACAGATGCCAAGATGCACCATTTATTCCTGATATGTATCAAACATACAGGCAGCCACCAGGAAGCCACCATACATGTATACCCACATTTATATACATTGTGCCACCTAAAATACCCAACCCTATATCTAGACTTCCCATGTCAACACTCAGGAGAGCATGTTGTTTACTTTCTCACAAACTAATGTTTGATTTTTCTGCATTCTTCTGGAAATAGACCAGATATCACTCTAGGGTTCCAGAGAGCCTCAAACATCCATCACTGGCCTACATCCATCACTTCCATTGGAGTTGTAACCAAAGCACTTGACACTCTTTCTCCACAACCGATGGAAGCAGCCTGTATTACAGTACTCTGACCATTGTAATAGCAACTTGTAGGCAGTAGAGTCCCAAGTCCCTCAGCTTAAACTCCTCTTACAAAAGCTCCTGGATTTTAGCTATATCTAACCTCTTCCTAGGGCCTACCATACAAGTATTACCCACCCCTCACAGAACTTTGTATAGCATATAATCTATCACTTCTTATTTATATTTTGTGTGTTCTCCCAAAGGGTCCAAATATTTGAGTATACCCCCCACAAATTTTTTTCCTTTCTATAAACGGCTGCATCTAACCTAAGTCCCATAGCAAGTATGCACCTCTCTACTCCACTAACAACTTCAAGGATTACTCATTCCATCAGATTCTCCTGGGCATTGGACACTTTCTAGATCTCTGCCAGGACCATCCTTCCATCAGCAAAACACTTTTGATGGAATTTGGTTCTTAAAATCACCCCTTTCCTTCTCTATGGTGTAGTGTCTCATGTATTTCTTTACAAAATATAGTTGTTTCTCAAAACTACTAGGATTAAACTGGTTAGAACTGAAAATGCCAGTCCTAGCACAGTTACAAACTCTTAGTAGTAACAGTTTCTAGCTGTTGGTATGTCCCAAATTCTGAGTTTGAGCCTCATATCACCATTCCGTCCTGGGCTATAATGAATCATCCAGGATTCTAGAACTGAATCTAAATAAAAACAGCCATAAAACCATTTCTATTGTCTATATATTGCCACTCTCTACTAAGTTTTCCATGTCATTTCCAGGATCAAGTCTGTTGAATACCCACTGACTCACTGTTGATACATGTCCAGGAACAACATGCTGAAACGTATCAGGTACCTTGCATAGTCCTACAACCTACAGCATGCAGTCAAGTCCTAAGCCTTCTAAAAATATGTAATCTACCACAAGAATAGTCCACAAAAGTCTCTCTGTACTGAGGCCAACATTTCTTTATATTTCTACAAGGTAGTCCTCTATGTACTTCTACACACATGAGACTTTGATCTATATACATATCTCTGTCCCATACCCAGATTTTCTATATCCCAGTTTTGTTACTCTCCAAGGTCTAGGCAGTTGAGTACCCTCAAACTCACTGATCTTTCCACATTCAGTGAGATCTAAGCTAGAAAAAATTAAGCTATGTTCCATCTTAAAATGGCTGCCTACACCTTGCAGTGGTCACTTCCGGTCTACTTCAAGATCCCAAAACTCAAACAGCAGCAGCATCACACCACCGCATTCTGTCATGTAACAAACTCCTAAAATCCCTTAGCACCTACCTTACCTGCACCTACTCATGAAATATTGACTGTGCATTCATAACCCTACTCCTTTTTGGACTTATCACATCCTCACCCATTGCCTACCCAGGTGAATATCCCCAACATTACATACTTGTTATTTCACATGCAACCATATAAATCTTGTATTTCCCTGCCAGTGTCACAGACTAGGTTTGACACTTGGATTTTGCATGTTGCCATAGCTCACCAAATGCTTCAACTATGTCCCAAACATATAAGCATAGTCCCAACAAAGGAAATTATTTTGTATCCAGCATTATAAGTTTCCACCAAAACCTGCCTGACATAATATCCACATGTACATATTTTGACTCCCCAAAATACTGACTACAAACCCAGACTTACTATGTCCTCCTCCATTGGATAGAAGGTTTCTTACTCACTTACAACCAGGCATTTGATCTTTTAGATCTTCTGGATATAAAATATCAAACAGACAATATGCTAGCCTATTACTATCATGTGTACCATACAGTAGAACCACCTAGGTTTCTACATAGCCACAAGCCTAATGTCCTCGCCTAGATGCATCACTTCTAGTAGAGTTGTAGCCAATACTTAGGATGCAGACATTATGCTACCAGAAAACACACAGAGGAACTTTTTGCTTGTTGTATCAACCTACTCCATACCCACACTTCAAATTTCCTCCTCCAGGCTTCAGCATAGTATACAATCCATCACTATTTGCTTGTTTTCTACATCCATTTAGAACTGAGCTGTGTTCCACAGTCCTGCCTAGTCTGTCTGTCTGACCTATGCAGTGGCAACCTCTAGACAGTAGAGTCCCATTTCATTATCCTCAAAATCATCTCACAAGCCTCCTGTACTGTAGCTAACTTCTAGGCTTTTTCAATGACTGGCCCTAAAATAATCCATCTACAGGCACTCTGTGTAGCCTACATTCAATCACTTATTATTCTTATTTTATTGTTCTCCTGCTGGGCACCACTTTTTGAGTAAAACCTGCACTGAACTGTTGTTTTTGCAAACACTGCTGTATCTGCTCTAGATCCCATAGCCAGTACCACACCCCTCTACCACACTAACAAGTGTCTCTGTTGGATGTTTGCTAACTCCTCCTGCAATGTCAAGGCTGTAGGAGACCCTGCACACCCATATCTGTCTGTGATGGGCACTGTTACTATAAGAAATCCCAGACCACTGAACTCTCCTTCTTATAACACCTGTGAACTAATTTTAATCCATAATATCTTAGACAGTTAGGCAATTAAAGCAGCTACCTGATGACATGGATGGTCACTTGCCCTTCCCTAAGTCTGGTAGTATGCAATAGCATCTATACCATAGCTCTCCTGTTTATGGTCCTCCATACTGTCCCTATCAACATAGTCCTTCCTCCTTGGGCTTATC